CGGGGTCGTGTAAGCTCGATCAACCTAGTATAGGTAGGCATAAGTCGGAGTATTACGTAAGAGCAGCACAAAGCTGCCAGATGAGGGTGGAAAGGGGTAAGGGTGGCACAGGTCGCCTTTGTTTGGTTGGAGTGCATGCGTTTCACTGGTAGGAGCCGTGGCGGTAGTAGCAGGAGAGAGAGTCAGGGTGGCTGGATCTATACGTGTGCCTGCCTCACCGAGCCATATCGTCCACGCACCCCCTGACGCACCCCAGGCGAAAAGCAGGGGGTTCAAGTGTACGTATATATACGTATACAGGCGCGTTTAATAAGAATACGCGCCAGAGCAGACAGTCGGTGCGACGGTGCAGCGCTAACATTTTATTTATCAGCGCTGATGGCTTTTCCGTTCTTGCAAGGGTCGTCGTTTTTCTTTCGTTTTTCTCCTTTCTCGCGAAACCTGAAAGAAAGATCCCCTCGCGCCTCGCACAATCGAGAACGCAGTATGACGTTTCTTGCGCCTCCGTGACGTTGATTCATACCCGTGTCTGCGATATGTACATATTCCGCATCCGCGCGATTGCGGCGTCTAAACCGCTTTTTCGTTGGACGAGCGCCGTCGTTCGGCCTTATCGCTACATCGTCTTACGCTACGTCCTAATTGCACGTCGACTTACGCGACATGAAACAACCTGGGGATAATCTGTGCTCCGGATTAGCAAAGGGTGACATCGACGTCCTCGAAAAGAAAACTGTATCTGAATTTAGAAACGGCAAGCAACGTCCGTACGATAACGGTCCCGAGCGCGAGTTTTTCCTGGAGCGATGCAAAGGTTAACGTTGACGGTTCGCTTACGAAAGGAAGTTCAGCGTGCGGCGTGACGCTATCGCGATCTTCCAGCAATCATGTCAGAACGGCACATAAGGCTCCAGTCATCCGCTGATATTTCCTACTCTCGTGATATGCCCACCGCGGTGCTCGGAGAACGGTGAAAAATATTGTCAAGACGGCGTTGAAATATTACACCGTGTCAGGCCGCAAGAATTGCTGCACCGTCGACGATAATCTACCGCTGGCCGCGCGCGCAGGCGACAATTCGTATTGCTCGCGCGATGGAATATGAGCAGGATGACAATAAAGTCCACGACAGGTGGAACGACACTCCAAAGGGAACGATTATCGCTTAAATGCCAGCATTACTTGCGAGGGTCGTTCGAAAGTTCGCAGCTCGGAAAACTGAAACGTACTGCTTTCAGTTTTAAACTCGTGTCTCTTAAATGTCCCCCAAGCCGATACCAAGTCGCGTTTAAATTCTGCAGGAGTCGGTGCGAATAAATGAATGCCGTTTCGCGGACGGACGAACGAAAGGGTCGATCGAGCGACCGATATTTTAATTTATACGCGACGAAAAAGTTGGGTAACTTTCTTGTCGGCGGTGATCAACGTTCCCCGACTGATTCTTTCATCGTCCGGCAGAATTCAGCCCCGTGCCAGCTACGCGAATCGCGTGAAAGTCGCCGAGACAAGGAGAAAAGTTGCGGCGTACGAAAGTTTTGGCGCGGCCGAGGGAAGGAAACCAGAAAACGAACGAACGCTTAATTAACTCGCCCGCGGTGTCTAGCGAATAGCAAAACGTTACCGTGATCATGCCGCGATACCCGAATATACAGCTGTAACGGCTGGCTCTCATCCAACAGGCGTGTCTGAGACATTATACCCTCGTAAACGCGAATTTGTCATTTCCTCTCAACTGTCCCGTGCACGAATTGCATTCTGAACTACTGTATTCGTATAAATCGACTCGTTACGCCACTCTACCTGCAACATAAATTTCCGGATATTGTGCGACCGATCGATAAACTGCTGCACGACTCGCCAGATTTATACCATCGTTTTAGTATCGAGCTGGTAAACTATTTCCACGACGGTTCTTAAGTTAAGAATCTTAATCCTCCGGCGAACAATGTTGTGTCAGCGATCCAACGGGACAAATGGCTTGCATCACAGTTTTCGTTGATCTCGCGGGTCATCCACCAAGAAAAAACAAATATGAGAACATATATATGAAAATATTCAGGCTAATACGCATGTAGAATTTGATGACTTTTGATATCCTATAATACGATAACCTACCTGTTGCCTTAAGGTGAAAAAAATCCCTCGAATTTCCGGCACCCTCGATTATGCGATCAACCCTCGCCCCTGTTAGGTAGGATAATCGAGGGTCTACTGCATTATCCTTTTCCTAGCGTCCTGAAAGTTGGATCGTTTTAAAACACGTTTCGTACTATGTTCCTATCCACGTCACGACGATTCGTTTCCTCTTTCAGGTCCATCCAACGGAAAATAAAAACGAAAGAGTTCCAAGTTATTATTTCCGTTACATTTTTCACCGGTTTGAGAATATTTATCGAAACCGATATACTTTTTATTTGAAACGCGACGGGTCTGCCCACTCGTCTGTCTGTTTTACTTTAATAATGAACTATTAACGGACTTTGCCTCGCTTTACCCAGCCTCCACCCTCGTAGCATCGATGATCGGACTCTTTCACCCCGGTACACCCTCACCGGCGGGCGGTTTCGCTTTGAAGCGAACGGTTTGCGATTGTGAAACTTTATCGCGAAAGAGAAACCAAGAATTATTACGAGCGCCGGTGGTTCATCCCGCCATGTGATTTCCTTTAGACGTTATTATTTTCAGAATAACGTATTCCGTCGGTCTCGCGTTTCAACCACTTCCCTTCTGCTTTCAATCTAGTTGAAAATATTTTATCGTTAACGAGGGACCGATTCACCGTCGATCGATCAGCGCTTTTACGCGGAACGTACATCTTGAATCGTCATTATTGCGCGTTTATCGAGGGACATGCGTTAATAGACGCGCGAGCTTCAACGTGGTTGCTTTGATGGCGCGGCTGGAATTCATAGCATTTGATGTGAATTAGAGCGCTTTCCGACACGGCACCGTCCAATTTCTCTTGCTGCCATTCATCAGAGATTCAAACACGTTGCACTCACAGATAAGGGACCTCGCGGTAAACTTCAATTAGCGATATCATTCGGGCGGTCGTTGTTAATTTATCGTGCCGACGCACACGTGCGCGATGCGCTGGATAACGCGCGCATCGCGAGCAACGATGATAATAACGAGCAAAGAGGAAGCAGGAAACGGTAAGAAAGCATTGACTCGTCCGCGTCTGTTCGCAGCGATTAAAAAGTAGCAGAAGTAAGTAACGACCCCCTTCAACTCGTAGGACGCGTCTGTCCGTTGGTCGCGTACGGCAGATCTTCTTCAGAGCGCTTTATCTCAAAGACGACATCGCTCACTAGTCACGGGAAATGGCTCTCGCAATCTTTTCCTTGAATGCCGGTTGCGAGTCCGCTCGACATTCACAAGATATTAAATGAAAACATTGGACCGTCTTCCAGTCGACGGAACCACCTAATATTTGCCAAGAACGATATCGCAAAGGAACCATCAGCAGACACTCTTCTTTCTTTCTAGCTTGCTTACTTGTTTGGCGTGCTTGCTCGTTGACCAGAGTACCTTGCTTCCACGACGGCTTAACTTATACTCCCTCCGGTAAACGTGAAAACCCCGAGACGAGAGAGGCTGAAGATCTGGGGAGGAGGCACGCGAAATCGCATAAGGCCGAGATACGCCTTAAAATAATCTTGCCATTTCGCTGGTGCGCGCTGCATAATACCACGGTGAGCCGGCGCACTCGACTCTCCGAATAAACCGAGAGATGAGTAGATTTTATCGCTATCAATTTACAATACGGCCCTCCACGACCGCGCCACGACAGGTTTTACGGCCCCGTTCTGGTCAACTAACACAAAACGGATCTTATCGACCGCACCCCGATTGTTTGCTCAAATAGAGAGCCAATTTTATGGTTTATACACTCCCGTGAAAGTCGTCGTCCCGCCCGAGAAGGGAGGGGAAAAAAACCGAACGTTTTCATTTCCGACGGATTAACGACGCATCAATTTTGTTGTTTTTTTTTCTTTCGCTCTATCTCTCTCTCTCTCTCTCTCTCTTTCCCGTCTTTGTTTTCTTTTTCAATATGGAGAGCGGTGATCGGAAATTTTACGCGATACAGATTAACGCGCTTCCTCCCCTCCCGCCCCAGCTCCACGCGTTTGTACACAGATATACAAAGGCAACATGGTCGGAATATTTTCGGTGAAATTTTATAACGGCAACCGGCGGTCCACTGTTCGTCGATGCTTTTTCGAGCATGACCGTTGGAAAGAGGCTCGAAATCGAACGCGTACGATGATCCCGGCAGTCCATCATCGCATTTACGGATTGAATATCAAGACTCATCATCGGCAATCACCGCTGACAAATACTACCGCGCTGCATCGCTGGAGATAAACAACGACCGATTACTCCGATTCACGAACCCGATATAACGTTTCATTGTTGTTCCGGGTAGTATCATTAACCTGATATAATTGTACAGTAAAGTGTCCCGTTACTATTGATGCGATCATAACGTTTACCGTATCGCTCGAGAGCTTCTCGAACAATGTTTAAACGAAACGGTTCGTCGAAGCCGGCTCGATCGATTATCGCGGGCCAACAAAACGTTCCTTCGCCGTTTCGTTAATTATTTTTCGCGCGCGGTTGCGTTTCCCGCGACCGTTTCCGGCGGAGTCGAGTGGCTCAGGCTCGGTTCGGAGGAGGATTATCAATGTTAACGATGCCATTTTGACGCAGCGTGTAACGCGTGCGCGATATTCTACGCGAGTAGTGCACGGTGTTACGTGTAATTAAATCGACGACGAGAGTCCACCCGTCGCTCTTACCCCCGTTTATTAATTAACGCGTTACGTAGGAAATTATTACCGCGCGATAAAACCGTCTGGAACCGACAACGGTATCGCGACTATTTTATTTGTCGGGTTGTTTTCATTCATCTCGGCCGGGAAAAATAATTAGTCACAATCAATACTGAGTATCAGGCGTTTCCGTTCGCTTTATCGCAGACGCGGCGTCGAGCGACGCTAATGGGCGCAAGACGCCTCGCAGCAGATATGCAACTCCTCCTTCTTCGGCGGTTTGTGCCCGCACGGCAGATACTCCGGTTTCAATCCGCAGTGCGTGACCGACGCCGACGACGAAGTCGAAGACGTATCGCTCGCGCAACTATCCAAAAGTTTCTCGATCGATTCAGGAACGACCGGTTTAAATCTTCCGCCGAGCGCCCGCGCGCCACGAAGAATGGCCCTCTGCACTGCTTTCTCGGCCGACTTCCGCTCCTCCTTCATGCACTCTATCTCCCTTCGCAGTTGGTACACCTGGGGACACGTCTTTCCGTTATTAAACCATACGTACCCGATTTGGAATCTTAGCAGATATAAAACGTATACATTATCCTAAGTTATCAACCACGTTGCGTTCCATCGAATAAAAATTTCAAACACGGTATACTTTTTCGCGTTTAATATTCGTGCAACGTTTCGCCGAACCTGGCGTCCGCTAATTTGATGTTCCTTTGTCAGCCGGGTTGATAAATTAGTAAACCGGCAAATTCGGACAGAAATAATATCTCACTTCGCATTCCAGTTTTTTTATTCGGTTGTCCTCGCATTTCGGGCATCCCTTGACCGTTATTTTCGGTCCCTTTCCGGGGCAAGATACTTTTTGCACGTGCTTCGGAGACTTGTCTTTCCCGTTTCGCTGGCACACGGTTTGCCGGACGCAATTCGGTGCCTTTTTGCGTTCCATCGCTGGACACGATATTTCTTCCACGTGCTTCGAGGGCTTCCTACATTCCATTGCGGGGCATGGTACCCCTTGCTTCTTCTTAGGCTTCGCCCGAGGACACGGCACGCTCTGAACGAATTTCCTTATTATATGTTTCGGCTGGCATGCTACCACTTCCGTTGGCATAGCCTCGTTGCTTCGATAACGGGAAATTTTCTGCCGAACTAAATTTTCTTCATGGTTACAAATTTTAATGGCCGAACGCTTGTCGCTTGAACCTGTCGCCTCTCGAGAGTTCCGTTCGATACGACGGACTCGAAACTGTCAACCTCGGTGAAACCCGAAAATTTTGTTACGGGGCCGCCGGTCCACGGAGAACAAGAAACCTTCGCCCGTCACTTCTTCGCTTTCGCCTTCTTGGAACTCTTCATCGTCGTGTCGCGTAATTTCCTCTTGCGAGTTTCGTTCGCCTCTATGCTGTCCGGTCGTAAGGTGTTCGCGAAATTCTTATCGGGCTTGAACGGGACGCGATTGTTCTCGACGGTATGCAGCACGCGATTCAACGTCGGAAAATCGTTGCCGAAACGTGTCGCGCCGCCGAAAGCAGCCAACCGATTCTGGTACTCGACGCTGTCGCGTTTCAATTTGTTATTCTCGTGTTCCAATCGGGCGATCTCCTTCTCCAATTGCGCCATGCGCTTGTCCTTCTCGTTGGCTTTCTTCGCTGTACGGTTCGTTTTCTTGTTCCCCGTGGACATCTCTCGAAAGGGTGAACCTCGGGATCGCGGAGATAGGTTGCCGTTAACGCGTGGTTGCAGCGCGATCGATTACATTTTCCACGGCCGGGTGGGACCGTTGCATCCTAGCAACGACAAAACACCTGAAAAGGAAATTAGTAAATTGAAACTTGCACGCGAAAGCATTCAAATTTATAGCTTTCCTTATGAACGTGTACAAAAAAAAAAAATTTGTCTTTCCCGAGAAGCGCTGAAAACGGTCGTTGTTCGACGTTGTCCTTACAGCGTCGCGAATTCAACAAACGCGTTAATTTCCGTGCTGTGCACCGGTGTTGGGCTGGTTCATTATTATTTCGCCTTTTTTAAGTCGCGCGCGCGCGCGTTTCGTTTTATCGCGAAACAAAGCGAGAGGCAAGACACGAAACTTCGCACTCCGCGAAATGAATTCGTTATAATATGAAATATATTAAACGATCGCGCCCCGGTGTTTCTCTGCCGCGATATTGCGAGAGCGCATTTTCCAACCTCGCCTCCGGTGCGTATTGCTTTTTATAAATGCAGACGCCGCGCACGGATGGCTGGCGAGAGAGGAGGATGGCCCTCGTTCAGAGGGCCGAAACATCCCTCTTTTCTGGATCGTCGAACTAAATGAAACATCCTCCGCCGCCACGAGGTCGTCGCAATATTTTAACACGACCTCGTAATAATATCGTTTACAACCGAGTTTCCCTGGGGGAGAGGAAACGGTACTTTCTCCGACTCTTTATTCCATTAAAATGTGGGGAGTCCTTGGTTCCGAACGGAAACTCCAGCAGCCAGACAGACGGTCGGCTCGCCCGCCTCGAACTCTCCTCGCACCCTTCCGTCGTTACCTCTTTTTCAATCTGGATACCGTAACGGCCTGTTGCCGTTGTCGATATCGAGGAGGTTTTAATGCAAGCCTCGCTGCATTAACAGGGATTGAAATATCGTGGCGAGCTCGATTCGCGAACTAACCGCGGCGTCCTTAAATATTTATAGAAACACGGACGGTAGACATCCAACAAACGCGATCGTTCCCTACTCGACTATGCGATTAGCCTAGTCAACCGAGCCCAGCATCGGCAAATAAAAACGATAAATGGGAATGTTTTTAAATTTAGATATTCACCGAGGCGCGTTCAACGTACAAAACAGAGCTTGAAACGGTTTCGAAAATAATCAATAGGAGTTGAAAACAGTTGGAATATCGGTTTCGGTTTTTCCAAAAAATATCGCACACTGATAGGTGTGATATTCACTGGCCGTTTTCTTGTAAAATATGAGAGTTACCGAAAATACGAATGAACTCGCTTTTGTAGAGAATTGCACGCACTTAAACTTTGACGATAACTACCGTTTCCATAAAATCAATGGTTCGCGAGATACCTGCGAAATACCATGAACCGATTTTCCAATATGACGGCAATTCCTCGTTTTTATTTGGATTTCGTTGGCCGTGTTGGACAGCGTAACCTCTTTCGAGCCGGGTAAATAAATTTTCGGGCAGTTCGTTCGTCGAATTCCTGGACACGGGTCCCTGCGTTCAATTTCAACCCTTTGAAACAACACGAGCGCGTCCGAGGGTTCGTCTTACCGCGTTCGACCGTGAACGCGTGTCCCGAGCCCTGGATGAGGATCCACACGAAGACGAAGACCGTCCTGCTGTGTACACAGATGGTGTCCAACCGAATTTATTTAACCCAATTAAGGAAACCCGTGGAGAATCTTGGAGCGGCTACTCAGCCAATTGAAAGTTACACGTGTTTTTGTCAGCTCTCGTTTAACGCCAAAGCTCGCGGGGAAGAGGCGCAACGAAGTGAAACCGGATACGAGAGACGAGCAGGAGAGATTAAGAGGACGAGAAATGCGAGAGGGTGTTCTGTAAACGTGCGAGTGTGCTCGCTCGAGAAAGAAGCCCCTATCGACGCCGGGGACCACCGCGTCGCTCGTACGAGGAATCGAGGAAACGGATATACTGTTTCAAGATCGTTGCCCGTAAGATCGATCGACTTTTACCCCGCTTTTAATTAATGGCTCGCTAGGTAAAAGGGATAACGTTGTAGCGCGGTGATTGTAATCAATGCACGAAACGAAGCCTGCCAAAGTATGGAACGAACGATAAAGGGGTGAAACTGAAACTCGTAAACGTTTCGGTAAATATTGGAGAAAAAGAATTCCGTACATGGGCGGCGCTGTTTCGTTCCTCGATAACACTTTTACGTGGAAACCAATTTTAAAAAAGGAACGAAAAGCATATTTTCCAATTTGCTATTGCCGCGTCCAGCCCTCCGCTGTTTCTTTCCACCGTGCATTATATATCGCACAAGTTTGTTACAACAATATTATTGTTTTCCTCGGTCGTGACACCTGAAACATAAAAATACGAGTTAAAGTATCAATAACATTTCGTGCTTCTGGCTACCGATCGTCCCGAAAGTAAATTGAATTTCACTATCTTATCAGTCCATTAACTGATTGCAGTATCTACTATAAAATTCAATTGCGCGTTGGGTATCATAGGCAATACTTGCAGTTCTTGTTCCTTTTTCAAAGATTCCTTTACATTCGGTCCGCGAGCGGCCACGTTAAATTTCTTTCCATTACCGGAGTAATATGCGGGTCGGTTTTTTATCACCCGGCCATACATGCAACCATCCTATACAGAGAGAAATCCAATTACTATTGCGCCGCATTTGGCGTGGTACGGAACGGACTCCATCCACTCGGAGTTGCATCTATTTCGCATCAGGTGGAAGCCAATTGTGCAGGCCGAGTCGAGCCAATCGCGAGCCGCGCTCAATGGGCACCGCTCTAAATTATTATATTGTCGAACGAACAAAGCATAGCTCCCCGGAAATTCTATGCTAATGAATTACGAAATCGAATCTGACTCCGCGGGCTAACGTTTGCCGCGTCGGTGAACTCTTCTCCGTTTAATCGTTCGCGCGTCCAAACGTTAACTACCGCCAGATTTTTCGCGCGGCCCCGCCAACGGCCGATAATTAAAAAGGAAAAACAACCCGAAGAAATAGTATTACCATCGCGCAGATAGCATCTCGACGGGAAGAGAGCGTTGTTGATACCGGCCTCCATCCTCCTTCGCGCAACTCCGTCAATTACGGAACGCGTAATGAATGAGCGCCTTCATAATTCGAGAAAAAAAAACCAAGAAGTTATCTCCACGCCCCTTTAACGCGTCAACGGTTGCCGTCAACAGGCGCCCGTACGGTTCGCTTAGCCCGGGACGTAGTAATGATTCTACGGAACAGAAAGTAAATGTAGAAGACTCGCGAACCTTCGTGTCTCTGCTATTCCTCGTCGCGACAGACCGTATAATGCGCGTCGTCCGTGCTCGCGACAGAGAACGCGCCCCGTATATAGAGAGGATCTCGCCGAATCCTCGTCTCGACGATCCTTCACGGAAATTCACAAGTCGCGCGTTTCCTTTTCCCTCCTTTTTATTTTCCGAAAGTACAGTGGTACTTATGCGACAGGCGATAAGGGTTTTACGCGTGAAAAACAGAGCGCGCGTATTCGCGCCCCCTGCCAGAACCCCCTCCTCCATTCAGAGACACGAACGTTATTAAGAACGCACAACGAACGGCGAGCACGGCGATACCCGCCTTCGACTTAATGGACTCAACGTCGACGGATTTCATTTATCCGTACGCGAACCGGGAAACTACGGAGACGATACAGAAGGAAGAGAAGAAGACACTTGAGCGAGGCGCGAACGTCTCCCCACCCCCCCCTCGCGTACACCTCTCGAGGGAGGCACCCAATATGAACGAACCGAAGTTCGAAGTCCCTGGTCCCGTACACGTGTAATATCGCAAACGCGTTTTTTTTCACTATACCCGACGATATGCAAGGAACGCTCTCGCACGCACCTCTTCTGCACCATACGAACTCTTCCCATTGCACCGTGCACTAATCACGGTAAAAGCCGTAGCTCGCGCGCGTTATATCTGTTATCCGGCTGTGTCTTGCCTTACTTAATGGAAATATGAGAGGCGTTACGCTCGTCTGGTGACGCGTCTATACCGTCCTTTTTTATTTCTAGTAATACCGCGGGGAGATTGTTCCACAAACACGGGCCGCCGTTCTGTCACCTGCAACGGTGTCAACGTCTCCTCGTTCGCGCGCGCCTCTCTGTCCAAAATTACGATCGCGGGGGCCAATAATCGACGTACGTCGGTTTCCGGGCTGAAACCAGTCCCCGACACGCCGGGTACTCATCGATTTCCCGATCGATCGGAAAGGGATCGATGGCCGTCGACGGTAACGCGCCGCAGCGTTGAAAAGTCGAGCGATCGTTATCGCGGTCCTGTAATTAACCCCTCGGGTACGACAAGAATTGGACGATTTTCTCCCCCATCAGCCCGGGACTGATTTTTCACGAACAGACCCAACATTTTTTATACGTGATATTCAGTTGGTTCACAGCTTCGTGCGGTTTCTCGGTTAACCGCTGATTTTTGTTGCAAATTTTCACAGAATTGCGCAGCAACGCGACTCGACCAGGGAGTTCACGTAATTTAAAACTACGAAAGATAATCCGATGCTCGTTGTCTTATTTGTCAGCGTTGACCGTAAATTCTTCTAATTTTTATTAAAAATGGTAGCGACAGAAATGTCGTCGACCGCGGTTGAAATAAAGGAGTTCCAGTGAATTCTAAGCGATCACGAGTTTCCAGGAGTACCAGCCGACGGGACGTGTCTCGTGTCCACCTGCGCGCAGTAGGGCAAATTGTGATTTATGCGACGAACGCGCTCTGTCCGGCTGACGAAAGAGAATTGCGGAACGTAATGAGTTATGGCGACTCCGCGGCCTAATGCAAATATATGGTCCGTTGGCGTGTAATCAGCCTCTCGGTCGACGTCTCGCGAACAATTCTCGCGTTTCACCGTGTCCGACCGATCGTGTTTCCTCTACGTTCGAGAAACCGTTTCGCCGGGGGCGTGCGATCGCCGGTTAACGTTTTTTCCATAGTGTTCGCCGGCAATCATGCGCTGCCGCCCGCCTCCTTTATCCACCCCGGAACCCCTCGTTCAAACAACATTGGCATATTTTCTGCGTAACTTCAAGGGTGAGCGGAAGGCCTAGACACCCTTCAACCGGCACAGAGAGTCGCGTACGAGGTAAAGCAGAGGTACTTGCGCTCAACTACCGCCGTATCTTGGAATTATTAACGTTAAGCGAGAATCGTTAATGTCGGAGATATTCGATTTAACGTGCAGCCGTTGCTCGTGGAACGGGCAGTCGCGGAATCGATAATTTCCCATTAAAGCGGGTGTTAATGCCGAAATCCGTCCTATCCATTTTCCAGGGGTAAAATGGCCATCGAAAACTCGCGACTACCATTTTCCAGCGGGATCGCGTTCGAGTTCGATAATAAACCCGTGCTAGATTCGAAAGAACGGCGCGCAGTCTCCGCGATAGCAAGGGTCTCTAGAGCTGCACGCTCGTTGAACCAACCCTTGATAGGTGCACTTTTGGGGTAGCCAGCAAGCCACCCCATGGCAGTGACTGTGCTTCAAGCGTCGAGTGCCAACCGAGACGCGCAAGAGCAGAGGACTGCGTACCGCCTATGTCACGAGACGAGCTACATCCAAGATGAAATTTCAAATATTCCACGGCGCGCGTTTAATCCGCCCTTTTCAAAGAAAATATTTCTACGCGAACCGCGCGACACTCGAGAAATTCCTCTTCCCGGTGATGACACTCGAGAATATTTGCAAATATGTAGTTTTATCGGGCGATCGTCGAACCGGGAGGAACTTCCTCCGGCTCGATCGACGCGAACGTTTAGTTTATTTTCTGTTCGTTGTTTTGCTCGTGCGTCGCTCGACGACGTTTAAAAAACGTAAAAAAATAAAAATAAAGGCGCCCGACACGGACGAAATGTTTGCTCGAGCCAATCGATCGCTGCAAGACGTACGAAAAAACGCTTTGGAAGTTGTTTCGATCGAACGCGCGAATTTTTAAGTCCTTCGAAAATACGAATAGCTCAATGTACAGTTTCTCTAGAATCTCCCATTAAAATTTTCCCCAGGGGTGGTCGAACAACCTGTATATGCATGGTCGTCGAGAGAACGCAATATTTGAAAATATAACGTCCCTGGTGGGGAATGTCAAACACTCGACCGGATTCGCAGACACGTTTATTTTCCTCGAAGTGAAATACAATAGTTTTACGCGCAGCTTTCTCGACTTAGGGGTGTTCGCGTCGTTACTAGCCAGCACTTTTTTTCGTAAAGAATTTTCTACCATATACGTGCATGTTTTTAATACGAAATCTACAAGATTCCATCGCAAAGGAGCCCGCCCTCTAAACGTAAACGAAGTCTTTGAAGCATGAAATTGAAATTGAGAAACGCGACGCGCGTGCGCCGTGCGCGTCTTGGCGCAATAAAATAGGAATGTATAATAATCCGTTTCCATTCGAATCGAAAGTAGCGGGAACGCCAGGATAATTCAACGCGTACGTTTTCAATGTGGTGGCCATAACGGCGTGAAAAAAAAACCCCAATTGGCTCACTTTTATGTCGTCGTCGGATATCGAATAGACGATGCCGTAAAATCGCGGTTTACGACAGAAATATTCATACCGCGAAACTTATTCTTCGCGCCGGGGACGTAACGTTTTCTCACCGTGCATTTTATGGGCTGTCGGGGAGTATCGGCCGATGACATAACGCCGCCCGTAAGTCTTACTTTTCAGCCGAGATTGCCTGTGCTTTGCGCCGGAAGCACACATGTTTCAAAGGCGGCTTCTCGGCGCTTCTACAAACGCGGTCAGAAAAGACAGAGCCACGCCGACGCTGGGATCCCCATCTGCAGCGTCGCGTCGCCCTGAGAATCGCGAGCAGACGAGAAATTACGAAAATTACTTAATTCCTCGCGTTCGTGGGAGGACGGGCACGAGACGCAAGACAGGATTCCAAAGAGACCCTGGTACTTGAAACACGAGCTCGTCAGGAAAGTTCTTATTCGATAATCTTTTCTCGCTTTACGATTTATCCACTCTCGTGAAATTGTCTATCCCTTTGGTTAACAAATTCGTCGCAATTTAAACAAGACAATGAGCGCCGGACTATCTTTCGCAGTCTTTGTCTCGTTATTGGGAAATCCTGTATCAGTGTCGCGTCATCGACACGAGAGGATCGCGAATCCTTCGTCGATCCATCGTCTAGTTTGCCTTGGACGCGTTACACGGGCCTTCGTTGCGCATAATCGAGCCAACGGAATCCCGCGATTACCGCCGGGTACCGTGCATGCATTACGTTTTAGGCGGAAATTGTCGTCGATGGGAGAATGCGTGCGCGAAAATTTCATTGCGTAGTCGTCGTCTTTGAGGCGGTTGCACGCGACAGACGATCGCGCGAAACGAACATCATTAGCGAATATGAAACGCGCCCGGTCGCTGTTCTCTCGCGTTTCGCTCGTACGCGTGAAAAATAACATCGCTTCGCCTGCGGTGTGCCGAGGAGAGAAAGAACGCTAAACGGGGTTTAAATGGCGGGTAATTAAAAAACGAGAGGCAAAATCGGCCGGGGTTACAGCTCATTAGTTTTCAGCGGCTCAGAACGATGACAGAGCCTGCGAAAATGCGACGGTTGAATGCCGGATACAGCAGACGTTATGCCATTCCGTGCACACAGCCGCGAGAAGACACGCGTGCACCTACATACGTGTCCCGCAGCGGCGTTAATTGGCTCCGCGATGAATATTACAAAATACCGCCCCGCCTGAAAGAAGGACCCCGCTTTAATTACGATATAATGCACGTCGGTCGAGATCCTCGTGTGAAAGACCGATACACCACGCGTCTCTCGCGTTGCGCGACGAACTACACCTCGCTTTCATCGAATCGCTTAATATGGAAGTCGCTCAAGAAAGTTTCCTTCTAGCCCTATACATTCGCCGGGAGAAAGAGATGACGCCGAGCGACCGCGAGGTACGTGCAAGAAAACGTGGAATTTTACTTGGACAAAGGATATTCAATATTGGAATTTGTTCTGCGAGAAAATGGTTCTTAAGGAACTGGATCGTCACAAAAAAGGATAGATTAATTACGATGGTTTCTCGCGTGTATTGCCGACGTTACGAGAACGTACAGCGTGATAATCTAAACTTTGATACAACTTATATGTAAAGTAAATGTACAAGTAGTATTCGTAATCTTAAATAACAGTTTTCGCAGATTCTTACGAAAATAATTATAATTTATGGACTAAATACAGTCTTATAACGTGTATGTATAAAGAATTTGTCTGTAAAAAAGAAAAATAAACGTTTCGTCGGAAGACACGTGATCGCGCAACCTTACTCTTTATCAGAAAACTCTTGGCTCGCTAGATGATAGAAATGGGAATCGACATTCTGAATCAGCAGATTTGGTTCCTCGAACTCTAGAATTTCCCCTTCACCCATCACAATAACTCTAAAACGAAAACATTTTTCAAGCATACATCGATACCGAGAATCGTTTATACTATCATACCTATCACAGTGCATGATCGTTCTTATCCTATGTGCCACAGTGATAACTGTAGCGCTTTGGAAGGAAGACTTTATCGTCGTCTGTATAAATTTATCTGTCTCTTGATCAACATTAGCCGTTGCTTCGTCGATACAGATAATCTACAGGAAAACATGGGAAACTTAACGTCTAATAAAATACAACATCACGAAACTTTCTAAATCGAAAAAATCGATATCGATACCTTAGCGTTATGTAATACAGCTCTGACTAAGCAAAACAATTGCCTCTGACCCGCGCTTAGATTACTGCCGCTTTCCTCTAACGCGGCGCCAAGTCCCCCCAAACGATACACCAACGAATGTACTTGACATTTCTCCAACGCTTTATATATATGCAAATCTGGATATTGATTCAACGGATCAAGATTTTCCCTAATTGTACCCGAGAAGAGGTACGGGTTCTGAGGTATAATAGTTAACCGTGATCTGAAACGATACTTTACGGTAACTTCTAATTACCACGCTGCGCTCGAAAGGATTTTTAAACACATGATTGTAATCAAATCTTGTACACCTGACATAATTCGTTGCTTTAAAGTACCAAAAAAACCTTACCTTAATGCGTTAAGCTTCAAAGTTCGTACGTTAACGTTATCGATGAATATACTCCCCGAAGTTATCTCTACCAACCTAAACAACGAAACGAACAGAGAACTTTTGCCAGCACCTGTCCGTCCAACTACACCGATTTTCTCTGCCGGCCGTGTAGCGAACGTTATGCCGTTCAAAGATGGCACCAAATCATCTCTGCAAAATATACCAATATTATCTGCTAATGCCGAATGCACTTAATCTAGTGGGTCGCGTCAATTACCTGTATTTCAAAATTACTTCTCTAAACTCAACTACACCCTGACTTGGCCATGCGTACGGCGGATTATCTCCTTTTACGGTTTCTAAGGGAACATTCTCTAAATACTGTTTTACGCGTTCGATCGCGATCATCTCCCTCTCCGTTTCGGTAAATGCATTCACTACGCCGGATAACAGGCCAGTTATCGATAATGCATACGTAATAACGAGACCTATTAAACCAGGATCCGCGATGTTGTACTGGTACTGTATAACTGCTATATTGCTCACAGCCATTAAAACGATGACCCCGATAAGTTGCAATCTTAATGCGAGCCATTGACTGACGGCGATCGATGCAAATTGCGTCTTTTGGCTAACTTCCAACGAGAGTTCGTTTTCTTGTTTAAAACGAGGCACAGTGCGAAAAGCTCTAATAGTAGACAAACCGTGCAAGGTTTCGTTAAAATGAGCGTACAATGGTGAGAGAGCCATACTGGATAAGCGCTTTAGTTCCCTCGACGTTAATCTGAAAAATATGAATCGAATAATAAGTTTTTTTAAGACTTAAATGGAAATTGAAGGAATGAATGTACCTATAGTGATTCTGTATCCAGTGGTAAACCGGTACGAGCGGAGCTAATATTAGGAGTATCCATGGTAAACCATAAGTTGTAACGATAACTGTTGCAAACAAGCCGAATAGTTGTGCAAATAATATATTAGCAATAAATGGCAAGGTATCGTCAATTGTATATGTATCAGATGAAAATCTGTTAATGATTCTACCAAACGGTTGAATGTCAAAAAATACAGCTTTAGCCTAAACATATATACTACATTTAATTTATGATATAGTACGTCGGATAATCATCTTTCGGAAATGTTACATACCCGTATAACAACCTTTAAAAGCTGTTTGTGTATTGCAATGGCTGCTTGAATCCCGCCATATGCAAACATGAATGCTCTCATTAATGTAAAAAGTGAATTAAATAGAGCTAATATAGCATAAACTGTTAAATAATAATTAGTGCTCAAGTTATTATTGTCAAAAAAGTATTCTAGACGTGGGGGCTTTGAGCTGTCTGTAGTATTCTTTGCTGTTGTATTAATATGAGTAGCCCAATAAGATAACCACAGGTCTGTAATGTTCTTCGAAGCTTGCATTAAAAACATGGATAAAATTATAATAATTGCTAAATAACGGCCCACGGCTTTCATATAACAAGTATATACTCCAAGACGTACGGTTCCCTTTTCAGAAAATTCTTCGTCGAACAAACGATCTTTTCCATTTTCATTGATCTGATATGGTTCTCTTGGCAAGTCGTCGATAGACATGGTCACCAAATCTGACTCCAAAGATTCCGAAGATAATAAATAGTCTTCTAAATCGGGTAAGACATGGCTTGGTTTACCCTGATTAATTATCCTGCCTTTCGACATTTCCACTACCAAATCTGCGTGAACCAAGTAATGAGTTTGATGGGTACACAGTACTCTTGTTTTATTTTTCAACAAACCCAAAATAACATGCTCGAATACGTGACTAGCAATTTTTGGATCTAAAGTTGCTAAAACATCATCTAACAAATAAATATCTTTATCCGCATAGACGGCTCGCGCCAAAGAAATTCGTGTTTTTTGACCTCCGCTCAAAGTGTTTCCTGCTTCCCCGATAACCGTTAAATCTTTCTTAGGTAGAGAATTTAAATCAACGGTAAGAGCGCATGCCTTTAAGATGTTCCTATTATGAATTTCGTATTAGAATAGTTCTAAAGCTCCGTTTGCGTAATTCGATACTCACATATATTTGATGTAGTCATAAGATTTTCCGAAAAGAATATTTTCTCGAATGGTGCCATGCTGTAGCCACGAATTTTGTTTTACGTACGCAAAACCTTTATCGATATCGTCTACCGCTACTGTACCACGAGTTTTAGTAATTTCACCTAAAATACCATCTAAAAGTAACGTCTTTCCACTACCTACTTTTCCCATTATCCCAATCAAGTGTCCCTAGAAAAAAATTCACTCTATGCATAACATTTTGTAATATTTAGAGAAACTATTATGTTATTACCTTTGGTACTGTAATATTGATATCGTGTACATTAAAAATACCATCATCTTCGAAAGTAACCGTTTTTCTAAAATCTGAACTAGTAGATGGTGTATCAATACTTTTAGGTGAATCAAGACTATTCTGCTTCATACCTTGTTTTTTATATACACTAAGTGTTACATTCTGAAGCATTAAATCCACTCCAGATGCAGATTGTATATAATACGAAGACACATCTACATCTGGTAACTACATTGAATAAAATTGATATAATTACTATTTAAAAACTAAAAATTTTGTATGTGTTTACTTTCATTAACAGATAGTAACTTCTACATACATCTAACATTTTCTGAATTCTTTTAAGCGACACCCAAGCTTCTGTAAGACCATTCAACACCCATGGAAACTCATTTAGTGGACCTATTAGCATGTTCAACAGTGCCATACTAGTAAAAACTTTCTTTGCATCAAGTTTATTTCCAAGAAGTACATATGTGGTAAATGTTAATATAGAAATCAATATAGGCGTTGTGGCCCAAAAGTAAACACATAGTGCATCTAAATATTTTCTGGCACTCAAGTGTTTAATCTCACTCTCTCGTACCTCTAAGCAAAAAAAAAAAAAAAAATGATAAAAACTGGTATACAAAGGTCAATGTTCGAGGATAGAGCCATATACAAAGATATACTAACTTAAAATATTCCGTAAAAACTGATCTTCCCATACATTCAACTTAATTGTAGTTATTCCAGATAGTGTTTCACCTATAATTTTGACCCTTTGGTCTTTACATTCCATTAATTTTGTACTAAGCTTCCCAATTCGATTTGCTATCATTTTATTTATGGGAATAATCATTATTGCAAATGTCACCCCAGCTAAGAACGAGATACCTATTTGTTTATGTAGAAGATACAATGTCACAACTAACTGGAAAAATATGAACATAAGAAATGTTTACTTACTCTGCAGAAATTAAAATATTTTTAGCACAAGTTAACAATTGGGTTCTTAAAATTATTACCATTATAAAATAAAACGAACCATACAAAACTATCCTAAGAGATTACCTGCAATGGTATGCTCCAAAACGCATGAAAACTTGGACAACTATTAACGAGTCTATCGCTATCCGTACTTATAAAGTTTACAATTTCGCCAAAATTAAATTGCCGTTTTAATTGAACGAGCGAAGAGTGTACTGTTTTTCTATATAATAAAGTTATGATAGTGGATCGAATTTTTAAACCAACAATAGACATCCAAAATGTGAAATGAGTATTACAAAAAGCCCCTAAAATACAAAATTTGTTGTAATTTATATAATCCCCTTATAAACAATACCTGAAAACATTAGTCAAGTATATTTTAATGCCTACCTATTACAGCACTAATAAATAATAAAAATGCATAAAGATATCCATGTGAAATTGGTTCGTTTTTGTCCTCAATAAAACCAACCAATCTATTCAATAATATTGGTCCCATAAATGAAGAACAATTATTAATCAATTTCAATATTCCAACAGAGTAAAATTCCCAACCAAAACATTTATGCAACAAATGAAGCAATGTCATTTTGTTCCTGACCGTTTGTACATCTGTTTCCAACATTAATTCAGTATTCTCCATTCTGTCATTTGTATTGCTGGACTATAATATATTACATAATGTTAAAAATATTTATTCCTGTTATTTCAATAACAGAAATAAGAGAATTTTGAATTTACCATATTTTGCAAATGTTTATCAATCTTCTGGCTGATTGTATTAGTGTTGATATATTCTGGTAAATCAAATAGATCATCCGAATGATTTAATAAACCACGAACACCTTTTTCCATTAATGGATTTACCCAACGAAATGAAAGTTTGGAGATTGCTGATATATCCTCCATAGCAGTCCCAAGGTAAGTTGGGTCCTGTTCCTCTGGGAATCTCACGTAAGAAGAATTAGGTGTACTCAACAGTGCAGTCCGTTCTCCTATCTATGAAAATGTGTGATATCTGTATTTACTAAATAATCTATGGTTTCAGATATCATAGTCAATTTGGAAATACAGTAGCGCCCACTTAAGTGACCACGCTCGGGATCCGCCGCGGTCACTTATGTGGGCATAGTTACTTCTTAGAATTCAACGGAGATAAGGAAAGAGGATAAGTGCGAGTGAGATACAATAGCTGGCATCCAAAACCAAATATACAACGTATCGATAACGACCGGCGTAAAGTTACGCTCGACAAGCTCGATCTTCGAAGCCGTTTGGCTTCTAAGAATTGGTGGGGACACCCGCGAGCCCTTAAGTGGTCAAAAATACGGCCACTTAAGTGGGCACTACTGTAACACGTGTCTTTAGCAGCATGATTGAAATTTCATACATTGATAAGCTCACAGACAACACTAATCACTGATAATACTATAAACTACTATATTGAAAGCAAGCAACCCATAATGACTTACTTCATTAAATCGAGATGATCTCATATCTTGAAAGCTATCATGACCTGGTATCAGTGTTATAGCATACAGTGTTAGTAGAATCACTACACTGATACTGAATCCCAGTGACAAATTTGGTAGAACATCATCTTGCGAATTATGTTTCATATGACTTCGTAATAATAATGTAGAAATTACAATTAGTAAAAATATTAATGCTCTGATCAACACAGGACCTCTTGGATTAAAATCTCTTCCTCTTTTTAAACTTAATATAAAACAAATATGAACAACCCATGCTAATCCCTCTGTACCTGCCACAAGGTAATCGATAGGTTTGGCAGCTGTTGCGGTATCTTTTACTCTACCGAATATTAAATTATAATCTTGTGTACTAAGGATTAGAGAAGGTTCAGTAGTATTTTGAATGCTATTCTTTGGAAAAACAATTGATTTTGTAAAGTCAATAGTACGATTTAATCCATTTTTTATCTCGTTTAATATATTTGACGAGTCCCAAATTGACTCTGAATTTTTATACGATGCCATGAGGTATGCATGTGGTATTGAATTATTAGATGGCACGTTGTTCGGTGGAACGACTGTAGTATTAAAAAGAATAATACATGCTCTAATTATAGGAAGAATTACAAGGCACATAGTAATTAAAATTCTGAATTGTATAGCAGAATTAGAGTCAACATGAAGAAAGGAATATGTATTTCTTTTTCCACAATGATATGCAGATGTTATTGCAATACAGACTAAAACCGGAATCTGAAAGAGGTAAGAAAGAGATTTGATAAATACGAACTATATAATTTATATGGCTAATGTAGAAAATGCATCAATCTATGAATTACGAATCACCTGGAGGCAAAGTTGTTGGAAGCAGACATCAAGATCATGTGTATCTGGATTCAACGGTTTAATGCCTCCACGGTATCCACATAATTCTGTCCAATTCCATGTCCATGTTTCTTCAACGCCGTTAGTTAACCAATTACTATCCATATTTTAAAGCTACAAAATACCCAATAATAGGAAAAACCCTGAACGACCTTTTCACAAGCGAATAAGAAAATCAAAGTTCTATTTATGGCAGACATTAAATATCTAAAATATTGTGTTTATATTGTATTTGATGAATACTTTATATTTTATAATTCCTTCAATGAACTAAACAATTACTGCTACTGTTGTATTAAATTTAATATTTATAATTTCAAGTATTATTATCATTTATAAAGCGCTAAAATGACGGTTACAAAACATTTCGTTTTAAAAATAATTTTATAAATCTACTGCAGTACAAAGTACTCACCTGCTAAGCATATATCCTAATGTATTCAATAACAATACATACCCAGATAATGTATATTTCACTATTTATTACACGTTTCGCGAAGTATCATGTTTCGGAAAAACTTCATATCGAAGTACATACTTAAACTTATTGGTTAGGTTTCTGGCATACATTGTCGATGACGCATACGACGCAGAGGTACCAGCAAGCACCGACGGTGCCCTACTCACACTATGCCAGATCACGCGTACGTGAGCTCGTGGAGTTTCGGAGAGTCGACAAAGGCAAGCTGACACATGCTCTCTTTCTCGATTCTCTGAAGCTGCCCGAAATATAAGCATTATACATAGGTCGGAAAGTAAAAATACCTGGGCAGTTGAGATTCCAAATCGTATGCCGTTGACGTGAGGGTCGGATTTTAGTTGTTCAAGAACGAGAATGCAAATGTGAGCCTTCCACTCTCGACTCCCACGAGACGGTGCGAAATTACTTCGGGCAGCTTCGGAGAATAGAGAAAGAGAGCATGTGTCCGTTTGCCTTTGTCGACTCTCCGAGCTCACGTATATACACACGATCTGGAATAGTATGAGAAAGTGGAATGAGGTGTCCCCGGTGCACCCGGGGCTCCGTCTGGCATATCTGATCTCTGCTTGGAAAAACAATAATGGCGTATTCGGTGAACATCTCTGTAGAAGCACCGATCGAGAATCAGATCCAAGAAATCACCTACGATGGCCAAGAAATTTACCAAGCGTATGTACTTTCATTTAATAACGTTCACAATTGCGGACGAAAAATTAACGATCAACCCAACGAAACGCAAATGGATTTGTTATATATGCTTCCTCTAACCTCGGTGTCATTACGTTTTGTTTACATTTAGTAAAGTAACATGTTGTAATATGGTTTAGTAAAATGAGTCGTCGTTTTTCAGACCCCTTACGTTGTCCGAGAACCTGGCAAAAATCGCGCAAAAAATTGACTTCAGTAAAACCAACGGGGATGATATAAAGAAAGAGACTGAAAGTGGAGAGAAGGGTGAAGAAGACACAAAAGATTCAGCTTCTTTTCAGTCTTCGTTGTGGCCATGGGACAGCGTCAGAAGTAAATTAAGGTTGCACATTGTATTGAAATTTTACTTCCGTAATGTAATTTCATCAGGGTGAAGGGATTTATAGTTTTGTTCTTGTTCGTAGAAATGCATTGACCGAAGTATGCGTGCTAGCGGATGTTCTGGCAATAGCAAAAGAAAAGCATTACATGGTTTTAGACCCGGTTTCACAAGAGCCGGCTGAAGTTAAACCTATGATACAAGTGTATGCTAGAAAGAAAGCATTGGCTGGGGCTGCCTCTGTTATAATGATGGGTGCAGATAGATTAAAGAATTGTCAAAATGAATTAGCTAGGAATAGGTCCACACCAGACTTTCATATTGAATTATTGAGATTGAGACAAAACTGGCGGTTAAAAAAAGTTTCTAATTCGATCATTGGTGACCTTAGTTATAGAACAGGTTCATAATTATATTCTATGCTACGAATTACTATTTAAAAAACTATAAATTTTACGTTAGCGCTATAAAAATTTCCAGCGGGTTCCAAGTTTCCACAAACAGGTATGTTCGAAGTTACGAAGGCGGAAGAGGAAGAAAAAAGTAGTAGTAGTCCTCCTGCTTCTCCTAGTGCTGGTACAAATGCGTCCGTACAGGCTCATCATCCTTCGAATCCGAAAGCGTCCGCGTTGCGCGTTACTATACCTAGCGAATTGCAAGGAGTTGCCTACATAGAGGTACTATGCCAAAAAGGTAAATGTACATTTATTGTACAATATATAAAGTTACGATTATGTCCTTATAACTCGATTTCTTAGACCAAGAGGACCTTTGTAGTGCAAATATTAGTCTACTTAATAACAGTGCACATAGTTCCAATGCAGATATGCATTGGCAACAAAAATTAGAAGCTGCACAGAATGTTCTCTTCTGCAAAGAGTTATTTAGTCAACTGGCGAGAGAAGCTGTACATTTACGCGCACCCATACCCCATATGGTTGTCGGCAATCAAATAATGGCGACGGTAACTGTTTTTACGTTTACGGTCGACGTACGTAATACACAATGCGTTACCAAAATTGATTTAATTCCAGGTACTTCCTGGAATTCAATTAATCATAGGACTTTGTCACAGTACAGGAAATGACAAAAAACCTACTGCCCCTCCCCCTCATAAAAGTGATCACGATCATGTGTTAGAACATTCATTGCATCAACTATTACGCGAAGTACACCACAAAAATACACATCATCCGTTTCCACATCCCTCTTCGGGGCCTCTTGGACCTAGTAAACGGAGATGCTTGGCCGGCCCAACGGCCGCCGACAGATACGAGCTCTTAGAAATGACAAAAAGTCAAACATTGTTAGAACAAATTATTCAACAAGCTCAGCATTTCTTTATGCGATTGCGCACAGAGTACGTTTTAGACACAATAGCAAAAGAAGTTAAGGATCCTTTAATTGTTTCACACTGGAACGCGTTGAACTCCCCTACGCAATCCTGCGTGAAGATCAATATTTTAACGCACGGGTATGATAGCGTGTGTCGAACATCGCTTGTCGTTCACGTTGGGGAGAAGTCATTAAAGTGCGTTTGCCGGGACGGCAGAGTGATGCATATGAGTTACGAACCTCAAGAATTACGCGACCTAATCTTTTGCCAGGTAATTAGAGTGTTTCTATCGTCTTGGTCTTTATTATGCATTTATTAATGATTACTATATGGTTACAGATTTATCAGCACCAAATAACAGCAGTACAAGCATTAGCAAAATGTATGGGTTGGCAATTTTTAGCCAATAGTTCACATCTTGGTTTGGGCGCAGTGGAACCTTTAGGGAACGCTAGCAGTTGTATTTTGGCGTCACCGATAGGCGATAGGTATTTATTCGCATCACTTTTAATCGTTAATAGCATCGAGCTAACGTGTCTAAAATAATTCTTCGCGCGTTTAGGATGATAGCTGTCAGATGTGAACCACAAACGGGAATACAGGTAGCAATAGCTCATTCTCCTAGGAAAGATTTCTTCCCTGGACAGTTAGTTCGGGAAAGAAAGTGGGAAAATTTAGGTGGCTCTTTCAAAGAGGTCCGGTGGGACAAGATGGAAGGAAAAAACTTTTTAAATAAAATGGAACTACTCATGGCTTCCTTAACAAGCTCCTAAATCTGATCAGTGATTGATTAGGGATCCAATTGTTCCACAGGGTGAAAATTCATGATCATTTAGATTTAATCTCGCATCTGATATACAAAATACATTTTCATAATTGTACAATTAAATGACTGATGAATTTGTTCCAGTAATATATTTCTTGTCCATGATTAGTTTCGTTTTTTAATTTCCAATTTTATCTTGTTGTCATCGCCCGTTCTAGTATTTTTTTTGCAATTTTTTTTTCTTTTTTTTAATAAAATGATATTTAAAATATTTGTATATTTTGCGATTTACTACTTCCAACGTTGTAGTTTCGTCTCCCAATCAGACAAATTATTTCATCCTGTGGTATTTATCGCGCTACATAAGGATCATCATTAAATGTACCTTTAGTTGTACAAAAATGGTCTTTATTTGAATGACATACGAAATATAATACGAATTGAGTAATAAACCATCGTGAAATGGTAAGTGAAACAGAATGCCAAATATACAGATGTGTAGTAAACACCTAAATTACGATCGTCAATGGATCTCCTTATATATACAAAAACTAATGAACAATTCCTTACATATTATCAGGTGTATACCCTTCCTGAATAGTTTACTTTTAACTGTAAGGCGCGAACCGATGCACAAATTTACTCCTCTTTGTCCAATACGTATATGCACACATTCATTCTTACATTATGTACATTCACACACATTTTAGATTTCTTTCTTTTGGGATAGTAGAGGATATTGTACACTTCGGTACAACTAGATTCTGAATCGAAACATTATCTTAACTCGGTTATACGACTGTTTCGATAGGTTAAGGGACGGACTAGCAGCTTGACCAAAGAATTCCATGCTAGAACGTATCGAGTCTTTAAAAAAGCAACCTTTTCCGAGGATATTTCGTTAAAATAAGGGCGAACCACACACTTACAAGATGCGAAAAAACATTTACATTTCGAACAATAAGTAATACTGATATACTTAACAGATTTTTCCATTGATTTTGGTCAAGTGTGGAAGTTCATTAACCCATTTGCATCGGGTAGAATATTCCGCTCGCGACGACTCCAGTTGCGAAATAGACCAAGCGTTGAGTTACCTGTATCGTCGAATGCAAAATAATGCGTAACGATTGTAGCAATTTGATATCATCTGTGATATGAGCAGATTGTCAACAAAGTGTTGGTGTTGTATATGGCAGAGTTGGGCGGAATTTAATTAAAGTAACAATTACGAATTGAACCGAGTAATCAATTTTTTTTGATATTGAATTATTCTCGTCGAATAATGAATTGCCATATTGATTTAATTTCTCATTAATTAAACGAATTATTCCGATGATTTATTATTTAACAAGAAAAATGCAAAATTAGACAAATTAATGATTAATTTAATTGCCAATTGTCGTAAGTGATTTACGATTAATTTAATCGTCATTCATTGTCGGCAATTCACGATCTATTGGATCATTAATCGCTCGAGAAAAATTAGTCTACGAATGCCCAATTCTGGTACACGGCTAAAGACGTATTTTAATTACTGATGCAATTGAGTTAAGTAAATTCTAACATATTTTGGATTTGTATTGATACATTTCGGTAGTCGGCTCGTATAATAATATCAAAGAATAAAGATATTGGTTTTGCTAATTTAACGTTATACAATTTCACGCATAGCGTATACTGGAGCAGCGGACAATTTTCATGGACTAATAGCTAAGAATATTCTGGCGTTTTGCGATGTCCCTTTCTGTCAAACACAACTACCTATTTCTTAACTTTGTCGTCGATGCATTTTTTCTCTCACTTTCTCGTAAAACAATGCGCTATACTTTGAGCTCTGCCGCCCGCGACTTTGAAAGCGAGCATAGTCGTTATCATTAGAATCGTGTAACCAGAAAAAGTGGTAGTTATATAAGCCTGATGTACATTTAACAAGGTCATACATGACACAAACAAATGTGAGCCAACAACCCACATAACTTGTCCCCAATTTTTGTTATCCAGAGCAGCAAAGAATATGACACCCCAAAATGTATGCAGAAGAATGAAGCAAAGAGTTGTGGCTGCTGATATCATAAAAAAGTATTCTGAGCCTTGTTGCAGTCCCATTGTTCCAGGTCCAACAGCATCTGCTAGGACATTGACTAGAGCAAAGGCACCGCTCATAAAACCAAATCCTAAGCCACACACGTAGGCAAACACATGTCTGCTGTCTGCCACATGTGTTGTAGTCACTTTCTCTAAGCCTTTCTCTGCTTTTCGAAGTACCCAGTATAAGAGGTACCTATAAAGAGGCAACAAAAAAAAGATCCAAATGTACAATTTTCCTGGACAATTAAAATAAAAGAAAACACATAGGCCATGTAATACGTTACATGGTAAATAATGTTAATCACCTGAAAGCTTCTTGAAACAACACAGAGAATACCAGTCCAAATGCAAGGTGATTTTGAAGAGGTACGACGGCATACCAGAGCACCGATGACAATAATAAAGAAATAAGCCAAAAGAAAGCACTGACTATCAATACGATAATTCTGACAGGTTCAGCCGCAACGGTGAACGTAAACATGGCTAACGGCGGGCCGAAAGCCAAAAAGGCACAACCAAAAAAATCCATATATGTCATTTTTAACACGGTTAGTGCCAAATCACTTCGTTATCTATTGTTATAACAATCAGCTCTCCTCGAGATGCTAAATATTCATAACCCTACCAAGCCTTCGTGCGGCTTGGGCTGTACTTCCTAATAGGCACATTTATTTTCTTCACTGATAATACAAACTTGAAAAATATGATAATACGATCGGAGTCAAGTGAATCACAACGGTGACGAAATCACTTGGCACAAATCTGTAGGGCAATGTGGCCAGATTTGGCATAATTGAGTCTATCGACGGCGACTCTAGTAACGACAAACTTCCTTAGCGTCTAACGAAGTGGTGGGAAAAGCCAACATATCCTACAGCACGAGCCATGTTACGCGAGCTCGGCAAATCGAAAGAGAAGACGAATACGAACCTTTCCTTCTTGATCTCGAACAGCTGATGTCCGTTCTCGTGTCAATGACATACAATTTATAAAAGCTTGGACAGTCGAGATTCGAAATTGTATGCCATTGGCAAAGTTGCTCCAAGTGCCGAGCTCACGTACAGTCCTTCGCTGATTTCAAGTCTCGCGGGAGAAGTAGAAGGGTTTGCGTATTCCCACGCACACATTAATCTCTAGCTTGCTATTTGTCGCGGCAGTTACACACACATGTGGACTGCCTAAGAGACTTAAAGTCAGTGTATCACTGTACATGGCTCGTGCGGTAGAACATGTTTCCGTTAAACGCTAAGGAAATTCGTCGTTACTAATGTCGACGTCGATGCATTCAATTATGCCAGATCTGGCCACAGTGCTGTAGAGTCTTCGTTAAAAAGTGTAAACTTCTCGATAGAGGATCTCAATGTATCGATAGTCTCGTTACTTATCAAGATTATCGTGCAAATTGTACGGGTGGATACGCATCAAGCATCGAAATGGGACTGTGTAATGAGAACTACCTTAATTATGCGTGTTATAAAATCTGCATACGAAAGACCAGTGAACTTGAAACGAATGCCTTTTTCACATGAATTGGAAAGGAAAGTATGCACAATCAAAGAATTTGAAATTGACATGGCAATCCTCGATTATTAATTATTGCACGAATTCCGTCAGAGAGATTCATTTGTAAGCATTTTAGGGGTTTGCCTAATTTTTGGGATGTAGGCTAAATAAGCTGCAAAAATGCAGAAAATATATAAATTTTTTTTTAAACATATCGGGCGATTCTTTATTTAGAAATCAATTTTATTAAAGAAAAAATATGACAGAGTACAGTGACACTTAATTCCTATTAGTTAAGTCCTTTTTCTTTTTGTTCTTGGTACATGTAATGAAGATCTTTACAGTCTTCATCAGAAATATGTACCCAGCCTGTTGATTTCATGTGATAAACTGTGAAGGAGAAATAGTTTTTTAAATTTATAGCATGACATTTTTTTACATTGTACTACATACCTCTTATAATACCACCAGAGTAAGCATCTCTATGGGTTGCATGGTAAATAGATCGGCGGCCAAGTTCGTAAGCTTCTTCGTCGGACAAGTCCCACCTATACCCAGAATCTAGTGTACCAAACGCATAGACAGATCCTGATCCTACACTGAAAACTTTTCCTGGTGTACGGGTACCTTGTGAATCAACATAATACAGACCAGGCCCCCTCTTGTCCCATCCAGCAAGCATTACACCTATTATTAAATATTTTATTATAGATTTTATTAAGGCTAAAAAAAATATTATGATAGTGCCCACTTAAGTGTCCGCGATCGTTTAAGCGGGCACTACTGTATTTAGTTTCAAGAATATAAACTCACCCATACTTAATCCCATTCCTTTGTACTGATATACCATATTTGACAAAAGCTTACTAGCAGCAGCGATAGAAATGCGTTCTCTGTTTCTCAATTCATACATGCGACATTCTTTTGCCAATACACGATCCCAATACACACAATCTGCAGCACCACCAGCTAAAGTTCCCAAAAGATAGTCATTGATTTCCACAATCTTCTTCATGGTGGATGAACCTACAAAGGAAATTGCATAAAATTTTGTTCTAATCTTTTTGATGTATATACATATATATATATATTTTTTGAATTTACCGATAAATTCGCCTCCTGTTGAACGTGAATCAACAGCAAGAATAATGCCACCTTTGTATTGAAAACCCAATGTAGTAGTACCATGATCGAATTTGATCTTTATCTGTCTTCCAGTTTCATCGGTTCCGTCTGCAAGGCGGGCCAAATGTTCGGCTGGCTACATATAAATCAAAATATTTCGAGAAAGCACGTTTAAACATTTGCATATAGATAAATTTCAAGCGTTCCGTAATAATTTCTAACCTGCATATCAAATTTTCAGTGAAATTAATTTATATGAGAATAGGTGAAATTCAATTTATAAAATAAAAAAAATAAATAAATACTAGAGGAATACACATTTAAAAAGGTACAAAGCAATATATTATTTACAAAAGGTAATCACATGATGTAGCAAATTTAAATGCATAATAGTGTGGACATACAAGATAAATGTTTCAAATAATCTACTTACATTTACATAGGGTGGCACAGCTAGTTGTAGATTATTAATGAAATTTCCTTTATAAAGTTCGATCTCCCGTGAGAAAATATCTTCATCGCGTGATGTATTGTAATCAATAAACGAATTGAGACCGCAAACTTCTGCAAGCGCCATTTTTACGGTAGCCTTTACTGTCGAATGCTTGTCATCTTGTTAGTTCACCATGGCCGTGATAGTGGGCGCAGTGTTATGGGGATAGTTTGTAAACTTGCCGCTAGAGGCAATTTCTTGCGAGTTCTACCACAGACGAGGTATACGAGTAGACCTTTCACGTAATGTATTTTTTCGGCCTGTTTCTCTGGGGTCCTGAGACCACAGACGAGGTATACGAGTAGACTTTTCACCTTATGGACTTTCGCGGCCGAATCTGACTGCCATACCTGATCTGAAAATTCGGAGCTGATTTTAGCGGCCGAATCTTATGGATGGCGGTCAGTTGAGAAACTCACTGAATTAGTGTGATAGGTAACGGACTAGTTGCGTGTAAATGCATACGAGTTGAAAAGTACGAATTATTCGCGTTTCCTTGACTAGTTAAAGTTGTAAATAATTTGCTAAAATCAGTCTATCCGCGGTTTCTAGCTGAGGCATCTCTCGGGTTCGTAATACAAGCTTCGTGAGACATCGGAGCTCCCCCCGCCACGCCACCTAATTCCCGAGCGTTGCCGAGCACAGCGGACGGCCATCATTCCTACTTTGAAAATAAACATAGCAGGACGTGTCGAGACGTATCGGCGTTTCGCGACCGAGGTGCGTATTTCTAACCTGTTTATCCTTCCACGATCTCTTGCAATACGGTTTCGATATAATCATTACTAAATTGTAATAATCGTTCGTGTACTTTAATGCATCGTTCTTTCGTTTCTGTTGCAGTCTCTGATTGAAATTCGACACCATGGGAAGTTTCATTGGCGCGTAAACGACACCATAACAGATGGCAGACGAGTCGACTTTGGAGGGAGTATTGGTAACTTCTAAACAATTGTAACCAAAATTAACATCAATATCAATATTTATATATTTGTATTTCTTTATTGTGCCATTCGTTGCAAGCATGATGATAATTTTATAATCGGCCATTGTTAAAATAAATTATGAAAATCTTTGACAAACCTTTTATCCACTTCGATATAATATCGAAGTATACAGAAATGGCGTCGGTAGATATCGACGATAAATTGAAATAATTTATATTTAACTGTATTCTGATCGCGATTAAATATTTCCGAGTGTTATTTATTTAATTGATTGTTCATATTTCTTTATGAATTGTTGTAATTGCAATTTGCATATATATTTCGATGCAAGTTTAAGAAAACGTAGAAACCACGTAGTTGGAATATGCTATTAAAGCATAAATAATTATCGAACTTTAATTTTTGCAAATTTCGGAATATTTATAAAAATTACGAGATATTCTAACGTTCGAGAAAGTAAACATAATCATGCTTACAACTCTAACTATGGAACTTAGTGATATAATATTTATAAATTGAATAATTACTTGTACGTAATTATTTTCGTAGATAATATTTTATCGTTGAAATTCTCATTGATTGAGAAACTCTCGCCTTCGTGGCATTGATCTTGTACGGGACAAACTATGTATACAACAGTACTAAGTAAAGCAGTATTTCTGTTGACGAACTCTTGTAAGAAGAAAAAAGAAAATCGATAGGCAAAGCACAGATGTGCTTGTTGTGTTTCTTGTCTCCTGTCCTTTTCTTTTCAGGTCTTTTCTTTCCAGGAAATTTGTTGGCCGCGCGCAATGCGGCCGGTAGATTCAGTGATTGTACGTAGCAACAAGTTTGTTTCTCGGGGCAAAGTGACCCCGAGCACGTTATCGTTCGCGATGTTAGGCAAACGCGAGAATAGAAGCAGTGTTTCTTACGCGGTATTAAATTATTTCCAGAGCATCGTGGCTCTCCTTGTTTTCTCAATCGCGATAATAGAGTCAATTGTTCGCCGATTTCAATCCTCGGTCGCGGTAATCTAATTTAATACTTTTCAATCAAATTAATTATTTTTTCAATTTGAGATTTAAACTCACCGTTACCGGAATTAGAATCAGTGCATCACGGAAGAGGATTATTTGGCGTTGCTCCACGAGCAAACAATGTAAGTATAAATTTATACTTTGAAATTTTTAATTATAAATCTCTACAGTTTTGACAATAGATTCTAATTGTTTTCTTACAGTTTTCTTACAGTTTCTGAACATGATCCTGGGAACCAGTAGCAGTACCCGGGGGGTATCGGGCGGTGGACCACGAGCGAACAACGTAAGTATAAATTTATACTTTGAAATTTGTTAATTAAAAATCTCTATAATTTTAATAATAGATTATAATTGCTTTCTTATTCTTTATAGAAGGACCATGCAGGGGGCTTTGATGACTTCCACCGGGCAGCAGCAGCATCATTATGCAGTCATCCCAGAGGCACAAGTTCATCACTCGTGAGTTGCATGCTATTTGTGTTCCTCTGGTCCCCAACCATGTTGTAGGATGAAAGATCCGAATCAACACGGGTGACCAGTTGTATACTTGGTATTTTTGACGAGTTAAGTGACCGTGGGTATGAAAAATACCCATGAATTATATTTTTTTAGTGCAGGCTAGGGTCTTCTTGCACTCGCGTTTTTTAATGTTATCAATAAATATTACACAATTTTGATACAATATATGAAATATGTTTCTTATCTTTATATGAATTAAATAATTGAGTAGTATATATACATTAATATATTTATTAAATATTCGTTTTATTAATTAATACATCATACGATGTATTTTATGTGCAAGAAGGCGTTTCGCGACTGGTCGATTTTCAACTCAAAGGAACATGCATATTGATTATATTTTTACAAAAATTTACTTTGACGACAAAATCGACCAAGGTTAATTGAATATTTTGAATAATAATTTAACAAATTTATTTCAATTTGCAAAGTAAATTATTTTATCATGAGATCTTTATTAAAGTCTTACATTTTGCACAATTAAATTTCAGTCACAAATTTTTCTTGAATAATAATATCTTTCAATATTAACGTACTCTGTTGTTGATATATTACATAGAGCAAGTCGAGTCATTTTAATTGAGAATAGATACCGTTTAGTTAATTATTAATAACCAGTTGTTCTAGTCAGGATTTTCAGGATACTTTTCCGTGTTCGTTGCCTAAGTTCGTGCACATGCCCAAGTGTTATTTGCACGAGCGAAGGCAACGGGGCACGATGACTTAGTTTGTAACATTTACAATAATAATTTATCCGTGCGACTGACAATGCTAGTGTATCGTGCACGATGTACCGTCCACATATGTGTGTTTGTGGTTAGGATGTGGAAGTGCATCGTTTCAAAAGTTTATTACGATTCAGATACAGAATTTTTTAACATTAGATTCATAACAATCGTAATAATAATATTAAACTTATAGTTATTATTTACTTGGCCATTGTTCGTATTGCATACACGTCAATGATATTGTAAAATGCATAATGAATTAGCTTTTCGATCTTATATGATCATATATAGAGTATATTTTAATAAAGACTATATCCGATATATTAAAATGTTTTACAGGAATAATAAAAGTACACAATGGGCACTAGCTTTGTCAGTCCACTGCAAAAACTGGTACGTACACAATTAGAGTATGAATGAGATCGTGTCCGGGTGTCGGAGGAACCCCGGGGAGTCCTCTCTAGTTTAGGTCGCGCCCGGACATTGTGAATGAGAACCGTGGAGTGTTTGTTTGAGAGACTGAGTTTTGCATTTTTTTAAATATAGGGTTAGGTAGGTAGGTAACTTATTCTCTGGTGTGTGTGTTTAAACCTAAGTAGGTAGGGTCAGGGCAGGACTGTCCACATTAGTAATTCGGGTAGGCGCGTTTTCGCGTGGCAGTTCTGTTCCTGTAGTTACGATTTCGAGAGTAGAAATGTTGCTGATTCAAACGGTGCACTTGTGCTGTTTGTTTCGGCTTTATTTTCGACTCCTCGAATCGCGCGACTCTTAAAGTCGCTCTCTCGCGCTCGCGGTCGTGATCAGGTCCCTTTCGAAACGTTCGTCCCGCTCGAGATGACCACGTATGCTTTTTCAACAATTCGTATATTGTTGGAAGACTACGTATTGCACGAAATCTCGAGCCCGGTCTTAAGTAAGTTCCAGGCATCGGCAGGACCGCCGAAGAAAGAAAAGGCTCTATATGAGCTGAAGAGGCCCTGACAAACTGTCTCAAGAGCGGGCTACAACAAATGGCTTTTCATCTTCATCCTCGGATGAGGATGGAAAGTCATTCCTCTTACTATTTTGTCACTTAACTCGTCTGTAGTTGTAGTTAGTTTATTTTTCTGACTGGCTCACGTATGCATGTACCTGATGGTACATGATTGCACCATACATGCCAACCATCCCTCCCCATAACTCGCGGTTATGATATACATAGAGTTGCGAATATCCAATATTCGCGTTTGATTGTAGAGTTGCGAATTTCTATTTTTCGCGTTTCCTTTTCAGGGTAGTGTTGCGAATAATTACCATTCGCGATTGTTTTCATGCAAACTTAGGTACCGGGAGTTTGCTTTAAAAGTAGCGTTGCGAATTATCGATAAACGCGATTGCTCGTAGAGTTGCGAATTACCATTTTTCGCGGTTCCTTTTCAGGGTAGTGTTGCGAACAATCACGATTCGCGTTGCTTTTTTACTCTTTTATACATATGATGGACATCAACCGCGTTTGCAATTTTCATACTATAAATTAGCGTTGCGATCTTTGATCAATCGTGCGATTTTTTCTTTAGAGTTGCGATATTTTCAATGCCCAAATTCTACCCTATCTGTAGTAATAGAAGTAGTTAGTTTATTTAGTGGCCAGTACATGTGAATGTACATGTACCAATAGCCCCTGATTAAAGTTAGAGTTGCGAATAATATACAATGTTCGCGTTTGCTCGTAGAGTTGCGAACAAATATTTATCGCGTTGATATATCAGTGTTGCGAATAAATACGATTCGCGATTGTCTTTATGCAAACTTAGGAACCGGGCGTTTGCTTTAAAAATAGCGTTTCGAATTATTAGTAAACGCGATTGCGAATTAGAGTTGCGAATTACTATTTTTCGCGTTTGCTTTTCAGGGTAGTGTTGCGAATAATTACC